CGGCACCGGCCGCTTTTTTGGGGAGGGCACCACCCCCGATCCATGGATTTGGCGACCGCGCGCCAAATCCACGGAACGCTAATCCATGTTTACGCGCCCCCGATACAGTAGTTAGAGTTCCTGTCGTTTTGGGTGATCTGCCCTGCCTTCCACTGATCGACTGCTGAGCCCACTACCCTCTACAGGAGGAACATACAAAAACAAGAAACAAAAAAGAGTCTGGGGACGACTGTTCGATTACGTTTGGCTGTTTTAGGGCACTCGTTGACCATTTTGCGCGCTTCTTCCAAAAACCGAGTCCCGGCGCCGCGGGAGGGTGCGTGCACCCCCGCGTGCCGGTTGCCCGCAGCGTGCTCCCCCGATCGGTTCCATTGGCGGCCGCCGAGGGCCGGAGCCCGAGAGAGAAATGGCCACCGCCGGGCCCAGAGCCTCGCAGGCCTGGAGGCTGACACCAACACCAATTTCGGCGGTGTGCCTCCAACGAGGGAAGAAGATCCCGATCTCGGTGATGGTGGTCATATTCTGGCTGCCAGGGTGGCCGAAATATTACCACCAGCACCGAAATCTAGGATCACCATCCCCCTGTGGAGGCAGCCCCCTGTCTTGGTGTTGGTGCCAATTTCCAGGCCTCCGACAGAGCCTCGCAGGCCTGGAGGCTGACACCACCACCAAGAGACCACCTCTTGCTTGCTTGGGGCATGACGGGCGTCAGGGCCCCCGCCGCCGCCCCCGCCCCCCCCTATGACGTGACGCTCCCCCCCCCCCCCAGTGCGCTCCGGGCACTGCCGCCGTGCCTATTGGGATCCGCGTAGGTGTCCGCGGAGGAATCCGCACAGGAGTCTGGTCCGCAGTCGTCGTCGTCGACGTCGTCGTCGTCGTCGGTGACACCAAAAACCAATATCGGCGGTGTGCCTCCACCGAGGGAAGAGGATCCCGACCTCGGTGATGGTGGTGATACTCTGGCTTCCAAGGTGACCGAAGTATCACCACCGACGCCGAAGTCCAGGAGCATCCTTCCCCCGTGGAGGCGGCCCCCTGTGTTGGGTGTCGGTGCCCATTTCCGGGCCTCCAGACGTCCGGCTGCTCCGAGTCTTTCGATGCGTGGGCCCTGGAGGGCTGGACTTACGTCGGGCACGTCCCTCTATACAGGAGCATCTTCCCCCTGTGGAGGCAGCCCCCTGTGTTGGGTGTCGGTGCCCATTTCTCCAGGCCTCCAGACACCCGGCTGCGCCGAGTCTTTCGATGCGTGGGCCCTGGAGGGCTGGACTTACGTCGGGCACGTCCCTCTATACAGGAGCATCTTCCCCCTGTGGAGGCAGCCCCCTGTGTTGGGTGTCGGTGCCCATTTCTCCAGGCCTCCAGACACCCGGCTGCGCCGAGTCTTTCGATGCGTGGGCCCTGGAGGGCTGGACTTACGTCGGGCACGTCCCTCTATACAGGAGCATCTTCCCCCTGTGGAGGCAGCCCCCTGTGTTGGGTGTCGGTGCCCATTTCTCCAGGCCTCCAGACACCCGGCTGCGCCGAGTCTTTCGATGCGTGGGCCCTGGAGGGCTGGACTTACGTCGGGCACGTCCCTCTGTACATCAGGAGCGAAAGAAGGACGTACACGTACATGAATCCACGCTGGTTTCGAGAGGACGCATTGCCCGAAAGTTCGTATCACGCGGCCGGTCTCGCAGATCGAGGGGCCGTGTTCATGTACATAGCTGGGCGCGTACGTCCTTTGTGGGCTCCCTAATACAGGAGGAACATCAACAACATAGTAACAACAACAGTCTGGGGACGATCTTTCGACGCGTAGGCCCCGTCCCTCTACAGGAGGAGTCTCAGAAAACAGCAGAAAAATAGTACGGGGACGATCTTTCGATTTTTTTTTTTGGTATGCTGTGATTTTTTTGTTGTTCCTTTTTTTCTCCCCCTCCAAAATCCGCCTGTAGGAGGCCATGTCCGACCTAAGGCCGTACCACTCCCCCAGGGATGTCTTTTCGTCAGGAGTCGTTCTCTGACGGTCCCAGGGCCCGACGAGGGGAGGGCCCCCGGAGGCCGACGGCAGCCCAAAACCGCCCTCTCCCATTTTTGTGGGAGCGGCGGATTTCTGGGTCTGAAACCCGAAATCCTCCTCCTCCTCCTCGTCCTCCTCCTCCTCCCTTCGCTGCTGCTGTAGTCCTCCGCAGCTCTCCTTCTTCCTTCCTTGTCTCCTCCCCCTCTCTCTTCCTCTTCCCTCTCCTCTTCTTTCCTCCTCTACCTCCCTCCCCTCCCCACCCCCCCCCTCCCCTCCCCCTCCTCCTCCTCCTCCTCCTCCTCCTTCTCCTCCTCCTCCTCCTCCTCCTCCTCCTCTTCCTCCTCCTCCGCCACGAATTGTTGCAGCATGGGCAACCCATAGCTGGACGGGAGCCGAACTCGCGGCGCAAGGGAGCCCATGAGGTGCCTGAGGGATGACGTCTTGTCTTCCAGCTCCAGCGTCGCGTCTTGATTCCACGAAGGTCGTAGCTGGTCGAGCAAAGGGTGTGGAGGAGGCGCGCTGAATATCATCAGCACGAACATGAGCAGGAGGGTCCATGCCCACAAGGGGCACAGCCAACGAGCCTGTCCAGAGTCCTCAAGACAACCTCGTGTAACAGCTTTTTGACCAGAGCAGGCACCAAAAGGGTACATGAAATCCTTTTCCCGAGGCAACCACATCGTACCCCAAATGTTTCAAGGACGTGAACATCGCCGACATTCACGGGCATAAAACACGACCCTACACTGGTTTACGAGGCGCTGTGCGCTGAAACTCCTGTGGGCTGACAGGGTAAACCCTGCGTGATGTGCCGCGTCCTGGCAGCTCTAGGTTTTGGGGGTTCCCAGGAGGTTTGCAGACCACGCACTTGTAACCCAGGGTAGGGTGGTTTTTTCGTCCCTCAAGACATGGGTCCTGAGGCGGTCCTCTGGCTGAGCCTCGTACCTAGTTTTCCTTGAAATATTTGTCCCCAAGAATTTTGAGAGTAGCCCAATCGAGGCAGCCTCTGCACAGGTGGGCCCAGAGAAACCACACCTCCTGCAGAAGCGGATAATCGGCGCCATCAGAGCATGCCTTACCGGGCCTCCCTTTAGGAGACTGAGCACCGTCAGCGATCTGCTAGAAGATGACAGCTTGATGACGCTGGCCGTCCCCCTCCTAAGTGACACAACCTCCCCGTCAGTGAGCCCGTGGATCTTCAGCCCCATGATGTCTTGAGGGAAGGGCCCCAACCAAACAACCTTGATACCTGTCCGCCAGAAGATCTTCCGAGCCTCCGACGTCGCTTGGCTTTCCTCGTGAGCTGGGAGAGCTGCTGGACACGCTTGACAATCCTCTTGTGACCTCCGGTCCTGAGCGGTGCCCCTGCGGTGCCGTCAACTCCAAGGCCCACCGCCGATTCCGAGCAGACTCCCAAGGAACCGAGCCGTGCCTCCGGCTCCGCTCCAGGGCCCGGGCACGGGCAGACAAGGGCGTCTCGACGCTCGCCCGCGGGGGGGTGCACGGTTATCCATGGGGCGGTAGGCGACCCGAGGAGGAGGAGGGGGAGGAGGATGAGGAGGAGGAGGAGGAGGAGGAGGAGGAGGAGGAGGAGGAGGAGGAGGAGAGGGAGGGGGAGGAGGTGCCCAGGGCCGAAGGGGTGGAGTGTCGTCGGTGTGCGCACCGAAGCTTCCGAACAGCCCTTTCGACGAGGAGCGGGCTCGCGGGCGCCTGCGGGCGCGGCGCCCGAGCTTGAGAGGCCGCCGCTGCTTGGGTGGCTTCTGAAGCTGGTCGCGCCTCAGGGGCCTTCCTCCTCGTCCTCCCCCTCCTCCTCCCCCTGCTATTGCTCCTGCTCCTGCTCCTGCTCCTCCTCCTCGTCCTCCTCCTCCTCCTCCTCCTCCTCACGTCCTCACTCACGCACAGACTTACGACACTGGGCTCGCTGTTGGTTTTTGCACAGGGACGCAGGGAAAAGGGGAGGCAGCCACAGGCTCACCAGCCGCAGCTCCAGGTGCACCTCCAGCTTGAGCGTCGGCGTCGCCTCTGCACCACCGCCACCGGCAGCAGCAGCCCTGTCGATGCCGGCCCCCCTCTTCTGTGCGGCCGAGCCTGTGTGACCAACGCCTTGTGCTCCTCGCGTGCCTGGGTGAAATGCTCGCTGGCAGCCGAGAGGAGCTGCTGAGGCATGTCGCGTAAGCCTTTCTTCAGATCGCTCTTCCTCTGGAGGCACGCCGCTGGATCCTCTGCCGAGAGCTCCTCGCCGACGCAAAAGGTAATCGCCCAGCTGTGAGCCTTCCGCCAGGGCCTTGAGCGATAGCTTCGGCAGTGAGCGTCTGCAACTTCGCGGTGAGCCTGGGCGACCAGCTCGCGATACTCTGAGCCAGCCTCCTGCAGGTCATCGGCCAGCTTCTGACACGTCTCCTCGTGGTGCGCGACGTTCTTTCGCCAATGATCAAGCTTGTCAAGTTCTTTGGCAAGCTTCTTCTCGAAGGCCTTGATGTTGCTGGCCACGTGGGACATCTTGACTCGAATCGGCACTGCCTGAGGTTGGCGAGCCTCGGCCTGCTGCCTCCCGTTTTCCAGCTGGTGCACCTGGCCGAGCCCGAGGTACACCCGACCAGGGCGATGGAGGCGCGGCTGTCCAGCTCGCCGATGGTGAGGCCCGAGGCTGGAATGGCCGCCTCTTGAACTGCTGATCGGTGGAAACTGAGGCCCAGGAGACACAGCCACCATATCCCTACCATGCCACCCGCCAGTTCTGGGCAAATGGCAGATCGCACCCACCCGCCTTGGAAATATCACAGCACTCCGACCTCTGGTCGCTCCAGTGGGCCTTGCAGTGCTCACAGAACGCTTGGTGAAACATGTCCTTCTTGAATCCATGCGCGAGGGAGCTTTGTCGGCTGCTCTGCCTTCTACCACGGGGCATCTGGGAATCTCACGGCAGAGAGAAACGCAGTGTTCGCCAAGTCAAGTTGACCCGTGACGCAAGGCCATTCTGAAGTTCGGCTAGCACAAGCGCGGGCACCTCCCCTGCACGAGCCAGAACGGCTGAAGGAATGGTGGGGCAGAGGAGGGTGATGATGATGATGCTGATTAGGAAGATGGTGGTGGTGATGATGATGTTGATGATGCTGATGGTGACGAGGATGATGCTGATGGTGACGATGATAATGATGCTGCTGATGCTGCTGATGATGCTGATGCTGATGCTGATGCTGATGAAGACGATTATGATGATGATGTTGCTGATGTTGATGCTGATTCCGATGATGATGCTGATGATGTGATGACGATGCTGATGATAATGCTGCTGATAATGCTGATACTGATGCTGCTGATGATGATGCTGGTTGTGCTGATGGTTATGATGATGATGATGACGATGCTGATGATGATGATGATGATGGTGGTGGTGGTGATGATGATGATGGTGTTGGTGGTGGTGGTGGTTGTGGTGGTGGTGGTGATGGTGATGGTGATGGTGATGGTGATGGTGATGGTGGTGATGATGCTGTTGATGATGATGATGATGATGATGATGATGATGATGATGATGATGATGATGATGATGATGATGATGATGATGATGATGGTGATGATGATGATGATGATGATGACGATGATGATGACGATGACGAGGAGGAGGAGCAGGCAGGAGGAGGAGGAGGAGGAGGAGGAGGCGGAGGAGAAGGAAGAAAAAGGGGAAGAGGAGGAGGAGGAGGAGGAGGAGGAGGAGGAGGAGGAGGAGGAGGAGGAGGAGGAGGAGGAGGAGGAGGAGGGAGGAGGAGGAAACGGAGGAGGTCGTCGCCGCCGGAGCGCAGTGCCGCGGCAGCGGCGGGGCCGCCGCGGAGACGATCCGTCGCGCGCCGCGGGCCACGCTGAGCCCGCCGCCGCGCCGCAGCGCGCGGCGCAGTGCGCAGCGCGTGGCGACATGGGGCCTGTGAGGGCCGCCTCGCCGGGGCGCGGGCGGCGCGCTTTTCATACGATCGGAGAGCAAACAACGGGACCAAAACAAACTTTCGACGGTCCGCGCTCGGCCCCCCCTGGCGGCGCCTCCGGCGCCGCCCCTGGTGCCTCCTCCGCGCGCCAGGGACGGGCTTCAGCGCAGAGCCAAGAAATCCGCGCGGAGCGTCAAAAGTTTGTGTTTACGCATGCCGCTGTTTTTTCTCCTCTTCTACGAGGGCAGGCCTGGCCCGCGGGCGCGGCGAGCCCCAGCGGAGACCCACTCTGGGGCAGTGCTGCAGGGGTGGGTGGGCTCGGCCGGAGCTCTGGGCGCCGCCATCGCGTCACGGCGGGCGTTTTCGCCTGACGTCGTGCCCCATGGTCGTCGCAGGTCGAGGGCGGCTCGAAACATGCAGCAGGCTCTGGGGCCATGGTCGTGACTTTCTGCGATGCCGTGCTATTGTTCGCAACTTCGGATCTCAGAGTACAGTCAACCCGCATAATAAGGATGGGCAACCTTCCCAAGGGTACCCTTGCATCATTGCCTCGTCGGCCCATCCTTGGTCACTCTCGCTGGCCGCGCCCCCCTCTCGAAAAGCATCGAAATGGCCTTCCAAGGCCCTTGCATCCTTACCTGACGTCCTTATCATGCGGGCTGACTGTAGGCTCAGGGGGGATGCATCGACCATAAGTTGCCCGTTCATCACTGATGGGCGCCCGATAGCCTTTTCCGCCCAGGAGCGTGCGGATTCGCGGTCGGGAGCCTCTCGCTGGTCCATCGGCGATGCATCGCCGATTTCGGGTCGATCCCCCTCGAGCCGGTCCCCCCCATTCGCTGCCCCTCGTCCAAGACGTCTGGTGGACTGGCTGTTTTCTTCGAGTCCGCATCGCTGGGCTCGGGCCGGACGAAAGGGGGGGATTGGGAAAGGGGGGTTACGAAATTTGCTGCATGCAGCTGGTTTCGGCCCCACCGAGGGGCCCGTTCCTCGACACGTGGCCGCCTCCAGCGCCGGGAGGCGCCGGGAAAATCAGCCACGTGAGCTGAGTCTCAAACCCGCCCTTTGCTATCCCCCCCTTTCGCCCTTCCTCCTCCTCCTCCTTCTCCTCCTCCTCCTCCTTGTTTTCTCAGCCCTGGCACTCTTCCTTCGCCTCGGCCGGCGGCACCCGTTCTTCGTGGCCTCCGGGCCATCCCACGCCTGGGGCCGGGGCCAGAAAGAGAGGCCTCGTTGGCGAGCCCTGGGCCTGCGGTGTGGAGAACAGATTTGTCTGCCAGATGTCCAGGATGATCGAAGATCGGGCGGGTGGCAATGTCGGGGGTGGACAGACCTCCTACCCTGACACGTCGATGAGTGAATTGGCCGTTTTCGGCTCGCGAGAGGGCGTCGCGGCCGCCATTTTTGCGGGTCCAGGTCCGTCGGTTTCGATCCCAGGCCGTTCTCACCAAGGGGAGGTTTACTAAAGGGAGGCTTGTCCACCGCCGACAATGAGGGTGGCCCCCATGGGGGGATGTGTAGGGCCCTCTGTGGCCCCTTTTGGAGCCAGCTGGCGCCCACAAGGGGCCCTCGAGGGCTCCTTCAGGGTTTGGTCCTTCGCCGCCCGTGTGGGCCGCCCGCCCCCTTCAGCTCGGGCGAAGAGAACTCTGCACATGCACCGATCCTGGCAAGGCCCATCCTTGACCCAGAACCGGTGCCTATGCCTTCCTGGCCAAGGTGGCAGGGCGTATGCACCGAGCCTGGGCTCAGGATGGGCCTGGCGAGAATCGGTGCATGTGCATAGTTCTTTTTCCTCGATCAGCACCCGCCGGAGCGGAGCCGGAGAAGCGGGCGGCGCGAGCAGGGGCGCTCGGAGGTCCGCGCGGCGTTCCTGGGCCGGCGCCTGGCCTCCCTCCCCGCCGCCGCCCGGCGGCGCCTCCAGAGGAGGAGGAGGAGGAGGAGGAGCAGGAGGAGGAGGAGGAGGAGGGAGGGAGGGAGGGAGGGAGGGAGGGAGGGAGGGAGGGAGGGAAGGAGCGAGCGAGCGAGCGAGCGAGCGAGGGAGGGAGGGAGGGAGGGAGGGAGGAGGAGCGCGCTGCGCGTGCCGCTGAAGGGGTGCGAGGAGGGGCCCAGCGTGGGGTCGGGCATGTCCTCCTGCAGGCGGACTTTGGAAGACCAGTGCGAAATAGTCCACAAGTGCGTCGTCCCAAACAGTCAGCGCTGGTCAACACATAGACCCGAGTCTTCTACTTTTTGACAACTTTTGGACATGCCTCCTGCAGAGGGACATGCCCGACCCAGGCCCAGCGCCGACTCAAGAAATAAGATTCGCGTGGACCTCGGAGAGTTCTTGCTTCTGTTCTCGTTTGCTGCTCCTCCGGGTGGGGCCGCCGCCTACGCTGGGTCCACTGGCTCGCGCTCGTTTCACCAGTCCAGGCGTTTTTTTGTTGTGTTGTGTGTGTGTGTGTGTGTGTGTGTGTGTGTCCGGGTCAGCGCGCCCGCCTGTCTGTGGTCGTCGGCTCTGCTGCCTCTGTGCCAGGGCAGGGCGACTGTTCACCGCCAGGGCTGGCGCCAACGCTTGCCGGGACGTGCCCCCCTCGTCCCTCCTCACCCCCCCCCCTCCCCTCCCCTTTCCTTCTCGTGATCCTGCCCTGCTCCTCCTCATCCTCGTCCTCGTCCTCCTTGTCTCCCTGCTTCTCCTCATCCTCGTCGTCCTCCTGCTCCTCAATCCTGCCTCATCCCCCCACCTCCCTCCGCCATTCTCTTTCCCGCATCCCTCCGCCGAGAGGAAGAGTGGGAGGCAGCGGGCAACCAGGAGAGGAAGAAGTTCTGCGTTTCATGGGAGCGAGTTCGTTGCACACTCTTTGTTAAGAGGGGATTCTGGAACGCTGATGCGCGGAGGAGGCTTCGCGCGGCTCTTGCAGCGTTGGGCTGGCGAGGAGGGCCTCTTTGGGAGTGGTGCCCTCCTCCTCTGGTGAGCGTTCTTGGCCGCTCCACCACCCGGGCCCTCGCCCGAGCGCTCCAGTGCTCCGCCTCCGTTTTCTTCCTCTGGGCCCGTCGCTGCCTCGAGGGGACTTGCCGATCCTTCTCCTCCTCTCGGGTCGGACCTGGCGGGGGGGCGCACCACAGCACCGAACAAAAAGACGACCAGGATCGCTCTGAGATCCCTGGCGCGGAGGAAGGCCCATCTTGGGGGGTTCCTTCGGGCCGAGCCCGAACAACCCCCCTGGCTTGAGCTGCCCTGGTGGAGCTCCCAGCAACAGTCGGAGGGTAACGCGATCCCCGTGTAGGGGTTCGTCCAACCTCGTTCTGGGGGGCTCCTTCGGGCCAAGGAAGCAGCCCGAACAGCCCCCCTGGCCTGTGTCGCCCCGGTGGCGGAACCCCAGCGAGCTCAAGGGAGGTGCTCATCGGAAAGTGCGTATCTCCTTACAGGCCGCCCCGTGCGTCCTCCCCGATTACTCAATATTGGGGCCGTGCTCGCCTTTGGCACGGGGCGGAGGTGGAGGAGGAGGAGGAGGAGGAGGAGGAGGAGGAGGAGGAGGAGGAGGAGGAGGAGGAGGAGGAGGAGAGAGGAGGAAGAGGAAGAGGAGGGAGGGGGAGGGGAGGGGGATGGGGAGGGGGAGGGGGCTGGAAGGGAGGGGGAGGGGGAGGGGGAGGGGGGAGGGGAGGGCAGGAGGGAGGAGGGAGGAGGGAGGAGGGGAGGAGGGACCCTACGTAACTATCAGGAGGGAGGAGAGGGGGGGCCTCCTCGCTCCTCGCTCCCGCGCGCGTGGCCCTTGGGGGTGCGCGCTCCTCGAGGCGCCGCGGTTGGGCGCCTCGAGGAGGACGATGATGATGATGATGATGATGATGATGATGATGATGATGATGATGATGATGATGATGATGATGATGATGATGATGATGATGATGATGATGATGATGATGATGATGATGGTGATGATGATGATGATGATGCGATGATGATGATGATGATGATGATGCGATGATGATGATGATGATGATGCTGATGATGATGATGATGATGATGATGATGATGATGATGATTGATGATGGATGATGATGATGATGATGAGGAGGGAGGAGAGGAGGGGGAGGAGGAGGGAGGGGGAGGGGAGGCGGAGGCGGAGGCGAGGCGGGAGCGGAGGCGGAGGCGGAGGCGGAGGCGGAGGCGGAGGCGGAGGCGGAGGCGGAGGCGGAGGCGGAGGAGGAGGGAGGAGGGGAGGAGGAGGAGGAGGAGGAGGAGGAGGAGGAGGAGGAGGAGGAGGAGGAGGAGGAGGAGGAGGAGGAGGAGGAGGAGGGGGAGGGGGAGGGGGAGGAGGAGGAGGAGGGGGAGGCCAGAATGGGGCCCAGAGGGGACCGACTCTGGGCCGCCTTTGGTCTGTCGGGGGAGGTGGGGGGAGAGGACCCAGAGAATCACGACGGGAGGTTTTTCTTTTTCGGTTCGGTCTCCCTTGGCCCTCCCCGGGCCTCAGGACCTTCAAAGAACGAGTGAGGAGGCAAGATTGGTCTCCGGGGAGGGGTCCAGACTTTGAGGGACGCGTCATGTAAAAATCACGACGTCGGGGGTCTGGGGATGGAGGATCGGTCCAGGTTTCGAGATGTCTCTGGCCCTCTTTGGGGGTTATCCCCCCCGGTCGGAGCCCTCCCCCCTCTGCACTGCCAGCCTCTCGTCCTCCTTCTGGGCGCGCCGCCTCCGTCTCAGAACTTGGTGGGCTCTTCGGAGAGCGCCCCGCGGCATCGGCCAACGCGGCTTGTAGATTCGCAAGCTGGAGACTGATGGTAGGGCCTCCTCGCCGTCCTCGTCCTCCTCCTCCTCCTCCTGATTCTGCCTCGTCTTTTTCTTCTTCTTCTTCCTCTTCTTCTTCCCCTTCTCATTATTCGTATTGTACGTCGTCTTATTCTTGTTGGTGCTCCTCCTCCTCCTCCTCCCTCCTTCCACTTCCTCTTCGTACCCCTCCTTCCCCGTCCGACTTTTTCTCCTCCTCCTCCATCTCCACCTCCTTCTCCTTCTCCTATAGGCGGAGGAGAAGGAGGAAGAGGAGGAGGAGGAGGAGCAGGAAGAGGGGGAGGAGGAGAAGCGCAGATGCCCCAATCAATATCATGGGCGGGGGGCACGCTCCTGAATCTCCGTACCAAGAACAAATGCGCGAACACGCAGTTAAAACCTGGCAGCGCGCACACGGGCGCGCCGCGCGTTCTGACATTTCCGAACGCGCGGCGCGCCACTGTGCACGCTGCCAGGTTGTTAAAGTGGGTGTTCGCGCTTTTTTCTTGGCACGGATTTCCAGGAGCGTGCCCCTCATGATATTGCTTGAGGCACCTGTGCTCCTCCTCCTCCTCTTCCTCCTGCTCCTCCTTACCCTTCCCCTTCCTTTTCGTCCCCCTCCTTACCCGTCCTACTCTTCCACCTCCTCCTCCTCCTCCGCCTCCTCCTCCTCCTCCTCCTGCTCCTCCTCCCCCGCCCTCCCCGTCCACACCGTTCTGCCGTTCCTTCCTCTCCTGACTCCTGCTGCTGCTCCTCCCTCCTCGATCTGCCCCAGCGCACCCACTCACCCCCCCCCCCCGGACAGCTGGGAAGCGCTGAGGAGCGAGGGCCACACCAGGCTCCGGAAGCGGCTGGGCGTCCCGTCCCGGCCATCCCACCCCCGAGGTCTCTCGAGGCTGAGGGGTCGAGACATGGGCTCTAGAGATGGCAGCAGGACAGCGGGCGATCATTTTCCATTGCTGGCCACGCTGGACTGCTGCGTCCTGGGGTCGCACTAGGTTCTGGCAGGACGGGGCCTAAAAATATACACCACCACCACCACCGCCACCACCACCACCACCACCACCGCCACCACCACCACCACCGCCACCACCACCACCACCACCATCACCACCACCACCACCACCGCCACCACCACCACCACCACCACCACCGCCACCACCACCACCACCACCACCACCGCCGCCGCCGCCACCACCACCACCACCACCACCACCACCACCACCACCACCACCACCACCATCACCATCACCACCACCACCACCACCACCGCCGCCACCACCACCACCACCACCACCACCACCACCACCACACCACCACCCACCGGCCGCGCCGCCATCCACACCACCACCCACCACCACCACCACACCACCACCACACCCCCACACCACCACCACCACCACCACCACCACCACACACCCCACCCCACCACCACCACACACCACCACGCCGCCGCCGCCGCCCACACACACCACCACCACCCACACCACCACCACCACCACCACACACACCACCATCACCACCACCACCACCACCAACACCACCACCACCACCCACCACCACCACCCCAACCACACACACCACCACCACCACCACCACCACCACCACCACCACCACCACCACCACCACCACCACCACCACCACCACCAACCTCCCTCACCACCCTCCCTCTCCCAGGAAGGAGGAGGGGGAGAGCAGGGTGGAGTGGATGTGGAGGAGGAGGAGGAGGAAAGTGAAGAGGAGGAGGAGGAGGAGCAGGAGGAGGAGGAGGAGGAGGAGGAGGAGGAGGAGGAGGAGGGGAAGGAGGAGGGGAAGGCTGAGTGAGGGGAAGGAGGAGGGGAAGGAGAGGAGGAGACGGGGGAGGAGGAGGAAAGGAAAAGGGGGGGGTGGAGGGAGGAGGAAAGGGAAGGAGAGGAGGAGGAGAGGAGGAGGAGGAGGAGGAGGAGGAGGAGGAGGAGGAGGAGGAAAGTGAAGAGGAGGAGGAGGAGGAGGAGGAGGAGGAGGAGGAGGAGGAGGAGGAGGAGGAGGAGGGGAAGCAGGAGGGGAGGATGGAGCGGGGGGGATGGACGTGGTGGTGGTGTATGTTCTTGGGGCCCGCAGGCAGGGGCCCAGCGTTCCGCGTCGGTCTTTTCCCTCTGGGCCCCCGCGGAAGGCGCGCAGGGGGGAGGGGGGCGCCGTCGCGAGGGCAGTGGCCCCTCAGGGGGGGGCGGGGGAGGGGGCGCCGCTCTGTGGCGGGCCCGTCCCGCCGGCAGCGCCCAGGAACGTGTGCTCCGAGCGCGGTCTTGCTTCACGGACCCTCAGAGGAGGAAACGGTGCCCATACCTCGAAGAAGGAAACAACGCCATAAACAAACTTTTGGCGCTCCGCGTGGCTTTCTTGGATCCGCGCTGGGCCACCCGGCGTCGCCTCCGGCGACGCCCCTGGCGCGCTCCGCGCGACTGTGAGGGGGTCTGCGCGGACCGTCGACAGTTTATGCTTTCGCCATTTTTCTTTCTCTATTGGAGGAGGAAAAGGTACCGCTACCGTTCGCACGTTTTCCACCTCTTCGGCCTTTGGGAGGCACTCGTCGCCACCGCTGGATTCGCCTCGAAATCCTTGTCGTAACGCACCCCGGGAGAGGTCCGGGGAGTAGCAGTATCGGTACCCTGTGGTTTCCCCAGGCCCGTGGATCGGTTTCGCCGAGCGACGAGATTTTTTCATATCCGCTGCCCCTTGGCCGGCCCCTTCCTGGGCCCAGGAGCTGGCCATGTCAGGAAGGGCCAGCTGGCCTTGGCCACGCCCTCCTAGCCAGGCCAGGAGGGCGTGGCGTCACCGCTGCTGGTTTCAGGATGGGCCTGCCCAGGGAGCAGTGGATATGTATAGATTTCGTCGCCCTATTGCGGGCACCGCTCGTTCCCGCAACGGCCGCCCAGAAAACGGTTGCCTCCTGATGTGAAGCTGCCTCGTGGCTGGCCATCCTTATCTTCGCCATCCTCCTGCCGCCGCGCGTGCCATCCCTGGGGGAACGAGCAGGTATTTACCGATACTGCTACTCCCCGAACGTATGCTGGTGTACGTTCTGACCATCATTTTGGGGCGAATCCAGCCGTGGCGACGATCTAAGTTATAGTAGTGGGGGTAGCTCAAGTGGGGGGGCGGAGTAGGTGTAATAGTACTTGCAGTAGTTTTGTATGGATGCAATCGTTTCCGGTCTCGATGCAGTAGCTGCGTGTGGATGCAATCGTGTACTCTTTCGAAGCAATCGATTCTGCTCCTTGCAGTAGTTCGTGCCCCCCGGCAGTAGTTTGCGCAAGAGTTCGCGCAATAGTCCGCGCGAGCGAATTGTTGCACCTCCCGCCGCCCCCCATCTAGCTTCGCCCCCGTCGCTCCAGTCCAGAGGCGAGGGCCCCCCCAGCAGGCGGTCCAGAGCTGCGGCGAAGACGGGAGGGTCGCAGTATTGGTACCTCTTCTTCCTTTGAGCCCCACCTCTCCCCTCTTGATTCCGCGCGGGGGCAGGGCGGGGGAGGGGCGGAGACTCCGCGCGGCGGGAGGGCGGGAGACTCCCGCCCTCCCCCCGCGCGCCTCTGGCGCCTCTTGCCCACCGCCCTCTGCCTTTCCCAGAGACGTCGTGAGGCCAACGGGCGCCCATGACGCAGTTCTCGGCGACGCCTGCCGACAGAAGCGGCTGCCAGCAAAA